TGGGGGGGTGGGGGAGAAGGGTGGATTGTAGGGACAGGGTGTTGTGATGGTGCCGATCTGTCTTCCTCTAATGCTCCCTTGGTCTGACCCGGAAGAGGCGTGAAAAAGTTATGAAGAGGCCGGAGCCGCCACTGTTTTTCTTGGGCTGCCCAGTTCTTCCATACTAGGACCCCGTTATCCTTCAGGTCTGCCATCTTGCCGTCAGGGTCCAGCCATATTTCTTTGAAGGCTTCGGTGATTTGTTCTTTTTGCAGTTGGTCTGGAGGCGTGGGCAGGTCCGCTTTAAGCTTTTGGTTAGCCTTAGTTATGTTTACTCTTATCACTTCCAGGATCTCCTCCTTGGCTTGGATCAGGCCAAAAGTGTGTTCTTTGTATTCGAACGAGCACCTCATTCTCCATATTGCCATGAGGATGGCTAGGCAGGTGTGCTTAAAAAGGTTGTGTTGGAAGCACGACCAAGGCCGCATGTTTTTTTTGTAGTTGCCAAGTAAGATGGACCCCACGTCCCAGTGGAAGGGAGAGTTTGTGAGCTTGATCCAAAGTGCGTCCCACCATCTCCATACCTGGATGGCCATCGGACGTGCTAGCAGACAGTGCTCAAGGTCGGTTTTTCGACGAGGCGTCGAGTGACCACAGTATGAATAGATTGGGGACAAGATTCCCGCTTGCTCAAGACTGGACCTGGAAGTTATCTAGTCCGGGGTCGGAAGGCACCGGTGCACGATTTGCCACTGAAGGGCCCGATGTGAGGTTGGCATTATGTGCGCATAAGTGGACCACGGGATCTCTGAGAGGTCTTCTGCTGGTACCGGGGAGTCCCGTTTCCACCGATTTTGGACCACCGGGGACGATGGCTGGTGTTGGTGGGCTTGTTTGTATCCTCCTTTGACTGTGTATTGCCAGATTGGAGTGGGTTTGTGGCCTGGCCACTCCCACTCGTCCGGGTCAAAAGGGAGCGCGCAGATAGGGGAGGACATTTCATACCCAAAATACCCTGTGTCTTCATTCCCCACCACCCCAATTCTCGTCA